GCAGTGTTGACCGTCACCAAAGGTACACTTGCCCCACAGCTCAGCCCAGGAGCCAAATCCCTTGTTCTGCCCCAGGTTAGGCACTGGGCTTGTCATCTTTTGGTGACTACGGAATGTGTCCTGACTGTACTCAACCAAACCGTAGGGCTTCCCTTCCCCATATTCTCTTTTCACCTGTAGCCTGTGCTTTACTCTGTGAATCAAGACATTATTCCTTTTTCCAAAACGCAGGGTCATTCAAGACAACGTATTGGAAACGTCGTTTGGCACAAAATGTCTATAGGATATAATCACAGAAAATAGAGGGATATTATAATGAGAAGTCAACCCTTCAGTTTAATTGCAAAACACTGTTTACGCTGAAGAAAATTGTGTATCTGAGCTCCAAAGTGGAAACAAAGTTGCCATTTCCTGAGATGCATAGCATAAAACATGAGTTATTTTCCTTCTTAAGAAAAATATATCTGCAACTAAGAAGAGTATGATGAGTCAATATTAAAAGAATACATAGCCCTTGGGCTGTAACTACAGAGTACGCTGTATCTTTAAATAATTTCTAACTCCCCAATTTAGAGAAAAACTGGTTCCTGGCCTTACTAAAATATAACCTATTTCTCATTGTGTAGAAACAAAGAGGGGTCAGCTCCCTTAGGGTCAGTGCTCCCACACAGACAAAGCAGGCCTAGGCAAAGTTCACTCTGAGTCTGAAGTGTTGCATTTTAAAGGCATTCTTTGTTTCCTTTTTGGAAAATCGCTTGAAAATGAGCATACTAATGTATGTATAATGATAGGGTGAACTAAATTGTCCACTTTTCTATGGGCCTGAGAAGGAGGAAATGTGGACCATTCTGGGCAGAAGTCATCACGGCTAAGAGCGTCAAGTAGGTGAAGAAGAAACAGTGCACCGTGCACGGGCTTGCAGCTCCAGGCAGACGGGACTGAAAGGAGGGTAGCGCATTCCAGCTAGAAGGCTAGGAGAACAGCTCCTCTGCAGATTGGAGGACCAGTGTGACAACTCCTTGTCATCTAATTTAAACAAAATTGTTTTGCCCGACTTAGAAAAGTCAGCTAAAACCCTTCAAAAGTAGTAGTAGTACCAATAAATGAAAATGTCTCTTGAGTATGTGGGTTCCAGGCACGGAGGAAACAAAACAGACAAAAAAACACCATCTTCCTAGAGAGTAAACAAAAGAAATGTTAATTTCACGGAATGTTACAAGATGACAGGTGCTGTGGAAAAAAGAAAAGAAAAGGGGAGATGGAGGACGCTGGGGTGGGGGTAAGTGTCCTTGCTCTTTACGGAGGGTGGGCAGGGACCGTCTCAGACGCAGGGTGACACTGGAGCAGACTGGAAGCAGGTAAGAAGGCAGACAGGTCACCGGAAGTGAAGCGAGCCTCCCTGAGTGCTGGAGGGATGGCAAAGCAGAGCAAAAGGGCCGGAGGCCAGTGAGCAGGGGGCGGCAGGCAGCTGGACACATGTGCGGCAGGGGAGGGAGGTGAGGACGGAGGGGACAGTCACACGTCCTCCATGGACTTTGGCTGTTACTGGGGTGAGCTGGCCTGCCGTCCAGCTAAGAAGCAGCACATGGTCTGACTGTGCTCTTTACCAGGCTCCTCCTGAGTGCCGAGAGGGACAGGGACACAGGAGAGAATGGCAGGGGTGCCGAGAGGGCCAGGAACACGGGAGAGTGACAGAGGCCCTGCGGTTTGGATCAGTGAGGTTGCCATGCAAGTGACAGGAGGCTGGATTGTGGGGAAAGTGATGGAGGCCACGCCAGCGGGGTCCCCGATGGACTGGATAATAGAGAAAGGGAGGCATCGCGAAGGCCTCCACGGCGTTTGGCCTCAGCCATTTCCAGCTGCTGTTCAAGGAGAGGAAGAAGGCTGCACTGGGACGGGTCTGAGGGCGGACCTGGGATTCAGTTGGGGACACGATGCATGTGAGACGGCAATTAGCCCACCAGGTGAAGGTGTTGGAGGCAGTGAGATATATGAGTCTGGATGTCAGAGGTTGGTCAGAGCCACAGATGTCAGTACACAGAGATGCCATGGAGAACTAGGTCCAGGACCTCGTCTGGGGAGGTCCCCATTTTAGGGAGGATGCTGAGAAGGAGCAGCTGGTGACACAGGGATAAACCAGGGAGGTCCCTGGGACCTCCTGGGCACCGAACTGCTGACATCATCAAGTTCAAATGCAATGTTTGTGGAAGTTTTTTATAAACTTTAAAATGCTAGGAAAATGTTCACTTACTGCTCCTGGACCAGCGGGACCTTGTGTCAACCACTTAGAGATAATTATTCCCAGCCCTCCCCAGATAAAGAAACAACCTACAGCTGACCCTTGAATGACACGGGTTTGAACTGTGAGGGTCCACTTCCACACCCATTTTTTTCACCTTATAAACAAACGACATAAATTTATGGTATCGATAAATATGTACAGTACTGTAAATGTATTTTCTCTTCCTTACGATTTTCTTAATAACATTTCCTTTTCTCTAGCTTACTTTATTGCAAAAATACATATAACATACAAAATATGTGTTAATCGACTGTTTACGTTATCAGTAAGGCTTCCCGTGAACAGTAGGCCATGAGCAGTGAAGTTTCCAGGAGTCAGAAGTTACTCAAAAATTCACAACTGCGCAGGAGTCGGTGCCCTAACCTCTGCATTGTTCAAGGGTCAAGGTTATCCACAGCTGCTAACCTGTGAACACCTTTCAGGCACCCTGCCGTCTTCCTCGCCTGCCTTCTGCTGGGTGCCCCCTTCTAAGAATCTCCATGGACACCTCTGATCAGGGGAGGGGAAACCAACACTGACCCAGGCTTATGGTCAGGCTCTCGTGTAATCTTTACACCAAGTCCATGAAGCAGGACTGACTTTTCCTGTCACAGATACAGAGAGAGGTGAAGTAACTCAGCTAAGGTCCTACAGTGGCCTTGTGTGGGGCTGGGAGAGCCACTGAGATTGTCAGGACTCTTTCACACTGCAGTCCCGTCACAGCCCAGCCCCTCCCCAAGACCGTCCCGCCGCCTTTAAAGACCGGACAGGAAAGATCTGTGATGCATTAACACGGGAAAGAGAGAGTTGCTATAACAACACAAAAATAATGAGACTACATCTCCGTGTGCTTTATAGATTGGAAAGCCCGTTCGCAAACCTTAATCTCTCCTGGACGTGCCAATCTGATGACCCCTTTATCAGGACTGGTGCTGCCAAGACTGGCAATTTGGCCTTAGGCGAAATGAAAAAATGGAAAGAGAACATGAGAGAAACGCTTTCCACCTGCTGGAGAAAGTCATCTTAAGGGTATGAGTTCTCAGCGCCATCTTGGTTCTCTGCTGGGGAACATGTGTCTGAAAGAACCGATCGAGGTTTGACTCTCAGGCCAAGCCCCTGGGAATACCTCAACACGTGTAACATGCACTAGCTCCTCAGCCCAACCACCCCTGGGGAAGGTATTATTGTTGCAGCTGCTCTTGTCATTATTACTATTGTTAATGCTATCGTTCCCGTTTTACAGAAGGGGAAACTGATGCACAGAGAAACCTAGCCACTTGCCAAGCTACCAAACCCAAAGAGCTTGTCTCCAGCGTCTGTCACTTCACCTTCAGCCCCAGGCGAATCACCCTCTGAGTCTCTGTGTTCTTATATAATATTGGGCCCACGAGGCTGCATGGTTAGATGGGAAATGATGTCTGGAAACAGCCTTCACAGGGCTGGGCTTAAGCGGGGTGGTTATCAGAATGTTACTATGAGTCTTTGGTTAATTCTGTCTTTTGAGAAAGAGCTTGTTAAGCCCCCTGCCCCATGTGGAGAGGAAAAGCTTTTCCTTACACCCCCCTATCCTTCTCTTCCCCCCTCCTCTCTCCCTGTGCCCACAAAGCCTTTCCCCACCTCTGGCAACCACCCCTGTGTACCACACGCTTTGTGCCTGGATTCAGCATGACACTTTCTCATCGAAACGCAACTGTCTCACTTTTCTGGATGGGAAGCCCGGTGAGGGGTGAGTCCCCATCTTGGGCTTCCTTGGCGCATCCTGTTTCTCCAATACCACCTGCACAAATGAACGAGCAGGTGCCAGCAGGAGCTTTTAAACCTGCAGAAAGGGGGCTCCAATCCCAGCCCTACAGAGCAGACGCAAGTGGGAGATGTCCGCTGACTCCCACTTTTCTTGATTCTAGTCTGTTCAAGTCAGGTCAATATCTACTGCTCCTTTACTCACCCCAAACATTTTCAAGACCTTCTCCTCAGCAATCTGTGTTCTCCAAATCACCATATCTGACTCAGTTTGTTTTTCAATCTCTTCTAACCAAACGATGTTGATAAAAAGTTGCTGTTTTGGGAATCTAAGCATATTCCTCTTACAAACACCAAAGGGAACGCGAAGTGAGAGAATGATCACAAAGTGGGGGACATTTGGCTGTCAGCTGTAGCACATCCTTGATTCAAAACCTTGCGGCAGAGACGTGAGTGATCAGCAGCCCTGCTGCATGTCTGTGGGCTTCAAAGCCAGGGGCCACCTGGGCTGCAGAGAGGAAATGCGGAGTCCCCGCAGGCGCCCAGGCTTCTCCCCCACAGGCTGGACAGTCCTGGCCCCACCCATGCTAACTGCCGGCCTCGTCCTGGCCTTTTCCAGAGTCGGTGGAAGCCAGGGGTCTGTGCTCAGAAAAGCCAAACCCACGGAGGGCGCTCCAAGAAAAAGACCCAGGCACCTGGCCCCGGGCTGGCAATGGCCAGGCTTCAACACCAGCAGAAGCTGGCGATGGTGAAAGCTGGGAAAAGAAGCGTAAGAAGTAGGGTCCTTGTTGCAAAACTTTCCTCCAGTCCTGGTGTCACTCATCACGGTTGTGTGCCTCTTCAGGAGAAACTACCTGAGTTCTGTATCAGTGTAACACTGTGGAAATACAATTGTTTGACAAAATGAAGGTATTTAAAAATATATTTGCTGTTTCCCAACTTCTCGGGGGGAAAGGATGCTCATTTTGTTGCTGTTTAACTGGTTTTTTTTTAATGGAAGAAAATACAGTTATAATAATAATACTTGCAATACCTCATCTCATTTAATTTCACCTAATTCTATCAACACCCTTGTAAAGTAGGTCTGCTCTGCAGATGACAAAATGAAGCTCAGAAAGGTTAAGTGACTTGCCAAAACTCACACAGCTGGTAAGAAACAACACTATTAAACACAGTGTATCATATTTCAGCCATTCTTTTACTCCATCAAACTTGGTCTCCTTTAAAGCCCCTTCCAGTCTCTGCCAGGACAAACGTGCCAGTAGCTGATAATAGTAAGCGCTCAATAAGTCCCCTCTGATTAACTCTATAGGAGCTCCTTATTCTTTTGATTATATCCTCCCTAAAGAAGAAAAAAATGGTAATTTAACCATTATTGTGTGAATAAACTAAATTATACTTATTAAACTCTCTAACATTATGAAAACAGCATCTCTCTCTCTCGCTCTCGCTCTCGCTCTCTCTCTCACTCCTAGAGAAATAAAATGACTTTGGACCTAAAAAAATTCTTTTAAGTATCACATATGTTTCCATTTTTCCTGGTATGTTTTCCCCTCCATGTGCTTTTATTGTTGTCTTTTATTGTTGGTTTAAGTGTCCTGTGTGGTCCCAGCACGTCTCCCCACAGATTCCAGGTTGCAGCCTGAGTTCCTTCTGCTCCACCTGTTTGGGGATAGGAGGTAGTGGGACACGGAACCTCATTCTTCTGTTTGTTCCCCGTCTCAACAGGACACTGGCAGTTAGCAGGGTCAGTGATCAATAAAGGTTACTACTACATGCAGAGTCCTCCTCTCTGCTAGGATATGGCAAGAGCTTCCATATGTGGGCTACACGACCCCCAAACAATCCTGCGAAGGAGCTTATATCATCACCACCAATTGATAGATGGGAGAACTGAGGCTCAGAGAGGTTAAGGACCTCACTCAAGGTCACACAGCCCAAACTCTCTGGGCTCTTCATCTCGTGCTCTCCCGCCTCAGGAGGTTTGCTTTGGACTGATGACCACATCTGCGTCCTCCATTTCCACTCCTGGGGACCACGCGCGCTTAAAGGGACTCGCCGGGCGCCCTGCGGGCACCTGAGAGTCCGAGGAGTCCCACCTCTCTGTACCACCTCTGGCGTTCCCTCTGGGCCTTGCTCTTCACGCTTATTGCCACACCTCATCCTGACAAACTCTGTTCAGGTGAAGCGGCATTGTTTACCTTGCAGATCAGGACGCTAAGGCTCGGAGGTGTTCGCTAACCTGCCAAGGTCACACAGGTAAGAGGGTGAGGCGCGAAGCCCTGCGCGTCCCGCCTCCTGAGCAGGGAGCTGCCGGCCCCGCCTCCGCGCAGAGGCTGTTCTTTCCACGCAGACCCTGAGCAGTAGGTGTGGCCCAGGTGGTCCCGAAACCACGTGGCCAGCGGCTCCTCGGTGGCACCAGGCGGAGCCGGTGGGCGGGCTGCCCGGGCCCTGCCGCCCGCAGCCTGGATGGCCCCGAGGGGGTTTCCTGCCTGTACCTGTGCGGGCCCCGCTCGCCACCTGCGAGGCCTGCTCGTCCGGTCCCCGGAAGCCCGCCGCGTCCTCCCTGTCCCGAGAAGCCGGCCACCGCCCCGGCGCCGCCCAGGGGGCCGCGTGGGGTCCCCCGCTCGCAGGGCGGCCGGGCTGCGGTCCCGCGCCTCACGGACGCCCCTGTGAGTCCCCGGGGGCTTCCGTCGCGGTCCTGCCTCGGGGCCTCGGGGCCTCGGGACGCGCAGGTTCCGTTCCGGATCCGTCCTCTTCTGCTCACGTTGAACACCCTCGCCGGGCTCCCCGCTGCGGGGAGCGGCGCGCTGTCCGCCCGCAGCGCCGCTCACGGGGGCCCGCGCCTCCCACGCGCGCCGGGCGCAGGGCCGCCTCCGCCGCGGCCGCCCGTCCCCACCCGCGAGCGCGCGCGGGCCAAGATGGAAGGCGCGACCCCAACTTGCGCGGCGAGCAGGTGGGTGGGAGGCGAGCCGGAGGTTCCATTGGTCGTCGGGAAAGCCGGGCTGCACCTGCCCCCGACGTGCGGGGCCTCACCTTTCCCACCCCCGCGGGGGGCGCGCACACCTCGGGGTCTCAGCCGGAAAGCGGGCGCCCGGCGGCCCCCGTTGCGGGGACGCGGCGCTGGGCGGGCCGGGGGCGCCGCCAGTCGCCGGGGAAAGCGCTCCGCGTCCCGCCGGTCGCCCCCCGCGCAGGGTGGCGGGGTCCACGCGCGCCCCTCCCC